TACTTACCCTTTAAAGAGGCAAAATAAAGCTGATTCATAGCAGATCTTATATCTCCACAACTTGTTATGACAATAGCCTCAATAATATCATTATGTGGGGGAGTAAACAAATCTGATCTTTCTAGTATTAAGCTGCATGCTCTTTTTAAGGAATTTTTCATTAAAGTAACAGAACAAGCATTAAACCTAAAAAATGAAATTTTGATATAAAATATATATTGCTTGATACTTCTATTAATATTTACGTTATGTTTTCTATTTTATACAAATCCCTAATATTTTGAGGAAATAATTGATGAGATATATTATTACTCATATCTTCATCAGCACAGATAAATACAATTGCAGATCTTGCTTTATAATAAACTTTTCTAAAAATTAAAAAAATGTAAAACACAATAGAACAACATAAAAATGATATGTACCCACTCTAATATAGTAAAAAACTCATCAGGTTTACGTATCACAGAATTTGGAAAGTCTTCAACCAATGTCAACTTTTTACCACTGTCTTCAAGTAGTGATAAATATTTTGATTGTACAAGAAATTCTAAAAATTGTGCTGACTGTCCTGGCCCTTTAGATAATTCATAATCTTGATCAACAGGATTAACCCATTCTGAAATTCTGATATCTAATTTATTACAAAGAACATTTATTGTTGCACTTTTTCCAGAACCAGCAGGCCCTGTTATCAGTAATATTGAGGTGGTTCCCTATAACCATATCACATTAGAGAACAAAATCAAATCAAAAGATTATGGACATTGAGGAAAAGGATTCTCTTCCCTTGGTATTCCTCCTTCCTTAATTGAAGGTGTCATTCAAACATTTTTCCATCACCTATTACAAATATTCTGAAGGCTTATTGGGACATTGATACCAAGTGAAACTTCATAACGTTTATGAACCAAGGGAAAACCCTTAAACCCCAAGTTATAAAACTCAAAAAATCAACTGTCACTACCTTTCCACATTTATCCTTTACATTTCGCAGTAGCCATTCTTCAACCTCTTTTATTTTCTTAGAATGTACAGCTAGATGAGATTCAATTGTTGGAATAACTTTCTCAAAAAAATTATATGCCTTCTTAGTTTCGCTTGGCACTGCAAAAACTTTCAAACTATCTCTTGTTACTTTTGTACCAACAGGGAAATCATTTTTCACTTCATCAACTTTAATATCTAAAGATATCCAATTCTGTATTTAAAAAATGTAGAAAATTGAGAAAATGTTACAAATATTTCTTTTTATAACCTCCTTACCTTATTGGATTTTTTATTCATTATTTCCTTACTTGATACTATTTAAGTTTTCAAACAAAAACAGAGTCGAACGAAACCTCAAGTTAAAACCATAGATAGTTACAACCATAGATAGTTACAACCGTTAAAATCATAGATGTTAAACTTAGGCCTAATGATGATAGTAATATCTATGGTCCTTAACTTGGTCATAAAACTTGGTTGAAGAACAGGTTAAAACAATCTAGTCCACAAGACGCATTTCTTGTTAAATTACATGGGTGACAGCTCTTTTATAAACAGCTGAAACCAGATCTTTCTATTATTCTTTTGAAATAAAAATCGGATAGATTATATTAAACCGCGCGTTTTATGTTTTGATGACTGGACAGAACCACTAGAGATGTTGAAACTCACACTTTTTTGAACATTATCAGAAATGGGAGTCTTCCCTTCTATCTTGTATTCTTTGCCTTTCACTATTATATTTATAATAAATAGGTTTAAAAAAATTAGTAATTATTATTTATTTTAAAGAAAATAATGACGTTTTACATCAATAAAGGTGACGTGTTTTTGGAATCCAAATATGTACGAAACCCTTACAAACCACCCTATAAAAGACCTATGGTAACGTAAAACCATTCGAAATAATTATGATGAATTTATTGACGATCAATAATAATACATGTTTGTCTAAGTACGCGCAAGTCTACCAGATAACAGACAATCTCACTTATCATCATCATAAGGTCGTCAGTCCTAAGACTGGATGGGCACGTACCTCCACTTTTTCCTATCCTAAGCTAAACTTCGCATTTCCCTAAAACTAGAACAACCCACATCCTTAACTATTTGCGAACAGTAATCTAACCTAGGTCTACTTCTGGCCCTCCTAACTCTTGTTTCTGCCTCTAATATGTCTCTGACTATACCTTCATGCCTAAGAAGAATCTATCTCGCCTATTTTTTATTGACTTCCATAGAGTCCTCTGTTCTATTCTTTCTAATACCTCTTCATGTCTAACCTTTTCTATTCACGTTATCCTCATCATTCGCCTGTAACACCACATTTCGAAAGATTCTTACCTTTTCTTTTCCGTCGCGCCCACTGTCCATGTTTCGCACCCGCACAACGCCGCACTCCAAACATACACCTTTAACAACTTTTTTCGAATTTCTAAATTAACCGTTCACGAGCATAGAAATGACTTCTTTTTATTAAAGGCAACACGACCCTGCACTATCCTCTGCTTTATATCCCTACTACTCCTTCCGTCCTGACTTATCTGACTTCCTAGATATCTAAAATCAGCCACTTCTCCTATATATATATATACTCTTTCCCTACCTTTTCTTCCCTTGCATACCAGTATTTTAATTTTACTTTTATTTATTTTCATACAGTACTGATCTGTCAGTACCGCTTCCATTTTATTTAAGTCCTCCTTGCTAGATGCTAATACTGCTATATCAAATACAAACCTAAGCATACTAATCTTTTGCTCCTGTATATCTATCCCTACAGTTGTACTGTCTTCGATGTAGGGGAAACCGGGGCTAGTTGTTACAAGGGGTAAGTTGTTACACTGCGTTTACGATGGTTTCTGCTAGATCTAGTACCTTGTGCTCGTTTATTCAAGTAAAATAGTTGGTAAGCAGCTGCCACATTCAGTTTCGTCGTGACCAGCAGAAAGATACCACTTTTGTGACAGTTTCTTTGTTTTTCGTTCCTGAAAGAAAATTATTTGACTATTTTTATACAATTAGGTGAATATTGTAGTAGTTCTAATTTAACAAGTCGACTAGTTTCGAAACACTTGCATGTCAAACAAAATGGCGACATTACATCGCCATTGGGGCAGGTTGTTACAGTGTAACAACTTACCCCGCATTTTTCAATTGTTTCTCACTTCTACCTTTTCTGGTGTTTTCTGTTAGAATGGTGCGAACGTACAAGAGGAAAACTAGTAGAGGTTTTACAGAAGTTGAAACATATGAAAGAGCAGATCGAAAATTATCGATTAGAAAGGCGGCAGAACTGCATAATATAAATTTTATGACTCTTTATCGTTATTTAAAGAGAAAGAAGAATGTCGCATCGCTTACGTCTCAAACACAATTGGTGGGCTATGTTAGGCACCGACAGGTATTTGCTGATGCTTTAGAAATTAAGTTAGAGGAATATATTATTCACTGCAGCCGAATTTTCTACGGCTTGTCATCCAAAGACATTAGACGTTTAGCATATGAGTATGCTGTTGCTTGTAGAGTAAAATATCCTCAAAAGTGGAATGAAATGAAACGTGCTTCCGAAGACTGGCTTTCGGGCTTCCTAAAAAGACATCAGAAACTCCCTCTACGGACACCAGAGGCAACGAGTCTCAGCAGGGCCACAAGTTTTAATGCGCACAATGTTGGTCAATTTTATAACAATCTGGTTGAAGTTTTTAAAAGGTATAAGTTTGAGGCATATCAGGTGTGGAACTTAGATGAAACTGGCGTCACCACAGTACAAAAACCGCCTAAAATTATTGCAGAGAAAGGGAAGAAACAAATTGGCGGGGCAACCTCAGCAGAAAAGGGCACAACAGTAACCATTGAGTTTGCGGTAAACGCCAGTGGAAACTCCATCCCCCCACTATTCGTGTTCCCTCGAGTCCATTTCAAACCTCACTTTATTAGAGAGGGACTGCCTGGTTGTATTGGAGCTGCTCACACTAGTGGATGGATAACACAATCTATTTTTTTAGAATTTATGAAACACTTTCAGAAACACGTTCAGGCTTCTGCAGAGTCTTCTGTATTAGTACTATTAGATAACCACATTTCTCATTAGTCAATAAGTGTCCGAGATTTTCGTAAAGCGAATGGAATCGTCTTTTTGTCTTTTCCACCCCACTCATCACACCGGCTCCAACCCCTAGATTTAAGCGTTTATGGCCCCTTCAAAAAATATTACTACACAGGATGCTCGGACTGGATGAATTCACATCCTGGATTACCCATATCCATCTACGACATTCCTGTAATTGTCAAGAATGCTTTTTTAAATGCATTCACTCTGAAAAACATAACAGCTGGTTTTGAAAAAGCAGGCATATGGCCCTTTAACCGTAATGTGTACACTGAGCAAGATTTTCTTATGACAGATCCTTACTCGAAAATGAACCAACGCCACAATCTAAAAATAAGATTGTATTAAGTAAAAATTTACAAGACAATAATCAGCTTTCAACGACAGGGAATTCAAAAACATTTTCTGTCCGAACTCCTGAAAAACGGCTCCCAGGTGTAAGTTAAATCAGTTTACTTACCCCCGAAGACGTAAGACCATATCCAAAGGCAGTGCCTAGAAAAAACAATAGGCAAAGAAAAAAAGGAAAATCTCTCATCCTTACGGATACTCCGGTTAAAGAAGAACTGCGTTTGTTTATGTAGTATAGCTTACTGTTTTTGAAAAAGTTATTTTAAAATAAATCTTCCATGCTCATTGTTTTGTCTATTTTTTGTGTTTCTGCGACAATGATACATAATTTTGTATATGTAACAACTTACCCTAACTCAGTAACAACTTGCCCCGCAGTGGGGCAAATTGTTACATTTTGCCGAGTAACAAAAAACTGATAATCTTTGTAACTTCTAAACTTCTATAAAACGGAAAAAAAAATCCAGGACATCACTATAGGTACACTTAATTCATGTTGAAAAAGTCAGTTCTGTTACATTACTAGGAGACCCACAAAAAAAAAGTAGTTAAAATGTAACAACTAACCCCGGTCTCCCCTATAGATTAAAAAGTAGCGATGACAGTGTGCATCCCTGTCTGACTCCCTTCCTAATATTTACTTCTCTACATTGCAGCCCTATTATTAGTAATATTAAAATGGAAAAAGACCTTTTGTTGCAAGATAACGAAAGCGCTCTTGTTCGTTTTTCTCTCCAACCTGGTACAAGCCGAGACTAAACAACACCATTAACTTTGCATCCGAAAATTTCGGTAGTACCCTCTTTTTTCCCATTGTCACTACTTTGCTCACACTCTTAACCCTACACTAGCATGAGAAACAAAATCCATATTTGTTATTGACTCACCACATCTCTAGTGAATATATAAATTAATACGGTTAGAAAATGCTATACGTAATTAAACGTGCTACAGATGGATCTTCAAAAACAAACAAATGTATTACATTTAGCGTAAATTGCATCTAATCTTTAGAACTATTTGCAACTTTTAGGGAGATCAATCACTTTTAGTCGCGAAAATATCTCAAATTACTAAACCATTTCTGTCTACGGATAATGAAAAATCGATGAAAATTCAATAAATAAAAAATTATTTTGTTAAATGCTATGTATAATTAATTTTCCTATCATAAAACCTATCCAATTGAAATTAAACAAAATCCACCCTCTAATAAAAGAAAATACTATACTTCAACTACCCTCAATCTTTATGCTAGAATATGAAATTATTACCCTGTTATACTAGTTCGTACTAATTATATTAAGACCAGGCCCGTAGCGATGAGCTCGGGGCCCCGGTGCGGTATTCCGCAGGGGCCCTTCTTAAAATTGATGATCAGAAAAAAATAAATTTCGATAAAACTATTGATGAATTTGCTGCTATCAAATCGAGAAAAAAAACGTTTTAGAAATAAGAGCAGGCACTTGATGTTTGTGCAATGAATTCTATAGTGATGTTTCGGGTGATATAGATTTATGGTCAGCAATTAGTAATTTTTTATGCTAGCAATGATAATTATATCAACGGATTTAAGGAAAACATGAATGTAGAAGTATTCGCGATTTCGAGATGTATGCAGTCCATGTAACTACGTACCTGATCAAATATATGGAGTATTGTGACAAAAATTGATATAGAAAAAAGTAAATAAAAAATTATGATGTTCATTTCGTAGTTTGACTCAGCTCATCTCTAACAGCATAGTTTTTTTTAGAAGTCATTTTTTGAAAACAGAAAACTGCTAAGGGGCCCCTCGACTGCAGGGGCCCCGGTGCGCCGCACCACTTGAACCGGCCTCGCTACGGCCCTGATTAAGACAAATATCACAGAATTGTGCATGTCTCCAATCATTTATGTACAACACTACGAAGACATCCAAGCGATACGAAACAGAACCCTATTAATGGCCACTACGAGCTAATGGAATGCGACTAACAAGGGATACAACGATGTTTATGAAAGGGCGCCTCTACGCTGTTTACTACTTTTTTTAACAAATTTTTAACTATGCGCCCGGTTCAATGGTCAACCAGCAAAAACTGAAAGACGTAGCGTATATCGCCCTAACGGTTTATTTTATGATACCTAGTGGAGAGGATGGAACTTTGGTTTTACGTTCAAATACAAAAGGCACATGACAAGAAGTTGAACACATTTAAATAGGCGAAATATACTTGAGTACTGTAAATTTGAAAAAAAGTTCGAAAAGCAAACAATGCCAAACTAAGGCCGGAAGAAAATGAGTCTTCTGCCCTACCCATCGGCTTTGCATCAAACTCTAACGCTGGTTGCACATTACACGTTTTCGCCCGCACGATCAAAAGTCGTACGAGTTTATATCGTGGTGTAGTTGCTTTTCCACTGTACGATTTTAAACGTAGGTATCACACGATTTGTAAGCGTACAAAAACATTATTCAGATATATACCCTCGTAGTCACCATTTCTGAGGAAAGTATTGTACAGTGACTGAATCGGGGGCAAATTATAGCTTGGTTATTGTATTGGCGTCGAAAAAGACAAAGGCGTGAGCGCCTTCATTGGGTGCATCCTATTAATCAGAAAGGTGAGGAAGTGGGGTTATGCGACACCTTGTTTGAAGACCTGAGAAATGATGAACGGAAGTTTTTCAACTACTTTCGTATGTCAGTTGGCTCCTTTAACGAACTGTACGGCAAACTGCAGAATGTCAGAACGGCGAAACGCATAATTTAGAAATTGTATACAACCTATTGAAATGCTAGCTATAACTTTAAGGTAATAAGTGTCTTTAACACCGACTGTTTTTACTTCTTTTGTAGAGGGGGGTATTGTAATCTTAAAAAGAATCATCCTCCGAGATTATTGCTTATTTTCACATTGTAGAATCTTTAAACCACTAAATACATATTTGTTTTTCCAATTCCGTCGGTCAGTTTGATGGTCTGTCCGTCTGTCTGTTGGAAGTTGCTGAAAAGCTTTTTTTTGAACGTATATTAAACCGCAAAATGAAACACAACAGCAAACAACGCGAATTAAATGGTAATAGTAGACAGGTTCCCGCACGATTGAAACCGTCTAGTATGAAAGGGTGCATTTCGCCACGTAGTCCACTAAGCGAAGATACGATACGGCTACTGTTCATCTGTAGTGGCACTGGACGGCTGCAACGCGATCAAAAATCGTGTCCGTGCTGTAATCGTGTAATGTGAAAGACCGCCAAACTCTTAATAGGAGTCTAAAAGTATTTGCCCGTACGATTTATTCCCGAACCGACGAAAACGTGTAATGTGCAACGAGTGTAAGTCAGAGGAATTACTCGCCCACCGACATTGATAGCTGGTTAGAATGAAACATGTTCCTCTAGAACACCTCTACTGCACCTGAAATGCACATTCTGGAGTGTGTATTATTATATTCATATCATGTCTTAATGAATTATCCCATCGTTTAAAGGAGTTCTGGTTTAATGTTTAAATAAGCGACAGATAAATCAAATTAACCGATTTAATAGTTGTAATAATGTTTATTCACAATACACAGTATTTTTAATTATGTACAAAATTTACAGTAATATATAGACATCACAATGTTCCCTATATTATAATTTGTAACGCTGTCTAACCTATGACTTAACAGCTAAAGTACACTGTACAGAACATCTTAAATCCGAGAACTAGAAATTAAACCCGAAAATCATCATTATAATAATATTAATAATAATGATAACAAACTAAATAGTATTCACATTTAATGTACAAAGCAATTTAGAAAATGATTGATTTTTCCATATATAACTCTATATGCTACATATTTATATATTATGTTTATATACTCTGTTAATTATTATTTTATATCGTCAACTAACGGGTAACGATTATTTNGTTGTTGTGGCGTAATTGTAGTATTAATTTTTTGAACTGGCGTAGTTAGTGAAGGTTTAGAAATTTGATTAACAACTGCTCGAGCTGCTTGAGAGGAAAGAACATGAGCTTTGAGTGATTGCAACTTCGGTTGTAGTACAGGAGACGAAGATGTTATTACTGTTGGAGTGGATACATGAATCTCTAAAGGTTTCGACAGACTCGTTTTTATAGACTGAGAAGTTTGAGCTTGTTGAAGTGCAGCTGGTGATGATTCCAATGCCGGCACTTCTGCCTGAATCTCGCTGGACATTCTGCAAAGAGAAACCTTTTAGTATATATACTCTCTTTATTAATATTACGTATTTAAACATTGTACAGTATTCGATTAAGTAACTAATACGTACTTTTGCATGTGACCTCCATTTCCAGACACTGGAAGATCTCTTAAATAGGTATTATTATTATTACCAATAGCAATAATAATAATTACAGGTTTCGCTAATGTTCATAAGTTTTTCAGTTAATCTTTAATAATAATAATAATTGTTTATTAATAACGCTAACTACTTTTGTCAAGAAATCACAGTGAAATTTTAAATATTTAAGTAAATTTATATTTATTTCTCATCAATTTATCGTTTAGTAAGAATATTGTTTCGCATCTTATTTCGAGATTAAAACACGTTTTGCTCGATACGAAGTTACCATCGATCGAAACGATGTGACGGTAAATCTTGCTCCTGTTTCTCATTTTACAGTTAATGCAAATGAAGTAAAGTGGACTTTCATTTATAGAAACATTCACAGTAGTTTGACTGATGCTGAAGAATTAATTGCCATTAATTCCGTCAAAAAAGAATACAACTTTTCAGCACAGTGCCATTTCAAGTGCATTATTACAGTATCATATAATTAAAATTGGCAATCGAATGCAGCGTGACGAAAACAATTTATAATGTAATAACAATCAATAACAACAATAATAATAATCGTCGCATATTCCTTTCTCCGTTTTTTCATTTTTACCACAATTATTACTACTATTATTATTATTAGAAGCTATCACACTGTAGTTATAACTATTAACAAGTGTGCTATGTCCGCTACCCTTTCTAATAGACTGGGAGCTATGCGTCTTAGATTTTCGTTGACGAAGTCGCAAGATGGAAATATGTGAACTACATAAGCAGGCTGAAATTAAAAGAAAATATTAATTTCTATATGAAATTGATATACATTAAGAAAAAAAAATATCCACAGAGAAATTTCGTTCTTTAAAAAAAAAACCATCACTTAAAAAGATACAGTCAAATATTCAATTCTTCAAAACATAAACTGGGCAATTTTGTAAGCTTAAAGTACTCACAGAATATTTATGGGAAAACAAAAATTTACACAAACTGCTAAATTACCGAAAAGTAAATTGCAAGACTGTAACAAAAATAGTTGTTACAAAATATTATTCTATACCAAAAATTGTTGATTTAAAAAAAATAACATTTCCACATTTGTGAAACTATTCAGCAAGAACAATATATGCAGCACTTATTATAATATTAAATAACCAAACTGCACAAAGGGAATAAATAATTAACAACTCATTACAAAAGTGGTGTAATTTCGAAAATCTACTGAAAATTCATGCTATGTACCTCAATAGTAAGAGTAATTCACGTTTAGGAAATAAGTATTTATATAAAAAAAGTAAAAAAATGTTTTTACCGGCTGTGTTGTTCCAGGAGCAGCAACGTTGACTATGCCAGCAGCCTGCTTTTGCTGAAGGTACGTTATAAATCCGTTCGTCAAATTAGTCGATTGTTTTAAAACATCCATATGATCATGACCACAAGGGAGTGCAAGCAACATGCAATGTTCGTTTTCCATCTAAAACAAATAATATTATAAAATAAAAAACAAATAAATTACAATGAATGAAAGAACATGTTAAACACATAAAAAACTAAACAAAACCTACAGACAGTAGGACAATCACTTTCTAAAGTTTAAAGGACGCGACTGTCAAAAGGGCTTCCCCCAAGACACACTGCTGGATTTATGGTTAGATTCGGAAGGCCTGGGCCTAGAGCAGCAAAGTTTTAGGGGCACAGAATTCAGGGACACTAAAATTTTAAGGGCGAGAAATATTTTGGATTTCGCGCACATTTAAAACACTTTTTTTTTACTGATTGATGTTAAGATCTATTTACACAGTCATAGAATATGTTCTTGATTAATTCTGTAACCGTCCCGTAGTTTTCTTTTGTCGCAGACTGGGGTATGTATATGTTAGGATCAAAGTCCACTAACCGTAGTCGTTCAAAAACTATCGATCGTTTGATGAGTAGTATAAATAAAATAAAGTATTGAATAATATATTAATGTTCATGCTTCACTATAACAAACAGTAATACAATAACACACTTCTTTTGACAATTAAACATTAAAATAGCATTGTTCAATTAATAGTAAAAAAATAGTGATATTATAGGAAAGTCAAAATAATAAAAATAAAATCCTGATGTCATGCTGAAACCTGTGTGAAGACTAAGCGGATTTTGTACATAGTAAAATTACCATGGCTAGCAATGGTCCTATTGAAAACACTTGAACACACTGCTAGCTTTGGTCATTTACGGACTTTGATCTTAACATACGTACGTACGTATAAGTATTTTCCTTTTAATGAGGTACCACGTTATCAATTCGGCGCCGTTGATATACATTTACAGCTATATGTTCGCTATAGTATTTTAGTTTAACTATATTTTGTTTTAATATAAATTAAGCATCGAACTATGCAGTAGTTTCAATTCTTTCAATGGTTTTATTAATCTATGAACATGTAAACTGTTATCTAGTTTCTTAATATGTAAAGAAATTATAGTGTGTAATTCACTAAAGAAAATTCCTAAACTGATTTTACGGCAGCAAGTTTAATAGTCTCCTAATAAAGTTAATTAAAAAAAAAAGACAAAATCCGACTTCAAGACTATACCTACATGTACAAACTTAAACTAAAAAGTAGAAAATAATATTTTAATTGCTTCAAAGCAAAGTGTATTAAAGAACAATCGACAAAATCATTGATACTTACACACATTTACAATTTATAATCAGTTATTTTCGGGGTCGGTACCTACCAAAGCAAAATAACCTTAATAGATACCTACTTGACTAATCAATTAGTATACGAATGTGAAAGTAGAGATTAGATAAAAGAAATCAGACGAAAAGTTTGTTGCAAAGCCAGGATTAAACTGTCCCTCTTAACTGGAACCTACTCCAAAAATAACTGATTATAAATAGTAAATGTAATTATCGATGATTTTGTCGATCGTTCTGTAATGCACTTTGCTTTGAAGTAATTAAAATATTATTTTCTAGTCTTGAAGTCGGTTTTAGGTTTTTTTCCTGAAATAGGATATTCTGGTTTTAACTTCTCTTTCATTAAGTATTGCAATTGTTATTTCTTTTGTAAAAACATTGTTAATTTCGTTATAAAAAGAAACTTGAATACACTACCTGCATCTTTCTTGCAACACCTTCTACTTGAGGAGGTTCAAGTCTCATTCTCTGGAATATTCTTAAAGGCGGTGTGGAGCCATCTATGTTTTTTGGTAAACTACACTTAGCCACCTGTTCGTTGCCCGAAACAAAATACATTTGTACTGCTGCCTGATCGTTTTTAAGAGCCAGAAGTCCTTGCCACATACAAGGGTATTGCTGTGAAAAAAAAAACAATACGGTTTTAATATGCAAATCGACGGAAACTAGAAATACTAGAACTAACCTTAAGTAGCATGAGAAGACTTTCAGCTTGAGGGGGCACTTGACTTGCATGAGGAGGCGTTGCAGCCTGTAGTCCCCTTTGACTAGCTGGAGCTTCTGCTCCTACGTGTCTAGCTACTGCCCCTATTAAATTTCCGGCCGCTCCAAGGCCAGCTCCTAGTGTGAGACCTTGGGCGGTAAACGGAGATCGTTCAGGGACTCCCAGGCCACCTAAATGACTAGTGGTTATAGTAGTATGACTAAGACGATCCGTCGGCATCAAAGATGTGCGTTGGTCGGAAGTCGCGCTTAAGGTATTTACGTGTGATACTGAACGATCTGTACCAAGCGCGGCAAAAGAGGAATGACTTGTAAGAGGCCGATGGGCTGGAGGAGGTTCTCCGGTTTCATAATAACGACCCGTATGGTAATGCTGTTGCATTCGTGGAGTATGAACATTGTATACTTGACCCACTTGTGGTGAATCTGAAAATATAAGATTTAAAATCAGTACTAATTTGCAAAATAAAAATAAATTGTTTCACTGATAATACAATACAATGTTTACCATAAGAAAAATAAATTAAACACAAACCTGTTGTTCTGTCATGTGGTGACTGTAGACTATGAGGGACGGTAGCGGATCTTCCACTCAAAGACAGACCAACAGATCCAGGCCTTCGTAATTCTAAAGGAGGTGATGTTACTGGAGCTTCTTCTCCTTCCTGACCATCTGTTGCCTTTTCTAAATTACCAGGCATCAAGGGAGATCTGAAGAATAACAAACCGTTACAAGTGAATTAATATTTTAATATATAATATGTAATATTAATATGTAACAAAATTTCAAATATATACCTAGGTAGGTGGTATGACTGACGTAAAAATTGTTGGTACATGACGTGAGAATGCATATAATGAGCTGGTGGTATTTCATGGGGAGATCTCAGTGGCATAGTACCTGGTGGAAAATGAGCCATGGCTTCTCCCTGGAAACAAAATATTAAAAGTAATAAAAATTGAATTATGTATGTATAATAAGTAAATCTGTAATAATTTATGATTATTTTATAATTAAGTACATTATTCGTAAAATATATTCGTCCTCGTAATAAATAACGCTAAAAATTATTTAAAATAATGTGAATTTACTGATTTACTTTTAAACCACAAACATCTTATCTTAAGTTTTATAATGTAATAAGAATATACCTAAAACAGTAATTTAAAATAATAATATATACATCATTGACGTTAAAGATTATTATCATAACCGAATATAAAAAAATAAATAATTAAATTAAAACAAACTAAAATTCAGTTAGTGCATAATGAAATGCCCTTATTATTATATCTTAATAAAAAAAAATGAATAAATGTATCCATAAAAATATAAATTGGGCTCTTGTAGCAACATCATTTAATTGTTGTTAGAAGCATTACTACTAATTATAACACCACTAATTTAAACAGAAACAATAACCACAACCGCAGTGGTGCAGCAGATACCTGTGGTGATGGTGAATTTTGATGAGCAGGTGGCGGACTTCGACTACGGTTATACAAACTCCTCTCCCCATGCTGCATGTTAGTGTTGTGTTCAATAAAATAAAATTAGTCAAATGTCTTACGGCTTATAGAATAAAAAAATGTGGAAGTGCATCAGTTTTAATAAATACAGACTAATATAATAAAGCAACTCAATGCAAAACAATATTAATAAAGCGCTTCCACATCTTGTGCAATAAAAATAAATTAAATTTACCAAACTGGCTTCATAAGGCGGTACTGGCAATCCAGTCTGTAGCACATGTCTAGGTTGTCCTTGCGGCGAAGAACTTGGTCTTGATACCATTACGCATCCTCCTATTGAAACTTCTACTTTTGGCGGTTCCATATTACCCTTCGCGCTTGCATTTGGAATTGACGCTGATGCCTGCACTAATCTGGTACCTCCAATACCCGCCAAAGCTTGCTGATTTGCCAAATGGGCCTCCTTCAATTGAGGTCCCGACATAATAGGCATTTTATTGATGGAAGGTTTTCCTCCTAGTACTATCTGTTGCTGTTGTTTTATCATCTGTGTCTGTTGTTGTTTAATGCTAGGAGGAGCACCTGGATTTATAATTGGAGTTACAACAACGGATGAACCAGGTGGTAAATGAGCTTTCGGAGGGATCTGAATTTGTTTGCCAACTACTTTTTGCATAATTTGTTGTTTAGTAGAATTATTATGGACAATTAAATGAGTTGGTGAAAGAGGAGGTTTAGACTGAACAGTTTTGACAACTCCTGGAAGCAAACTTGTTCTGGGAGATAAATGAGCGGGAACCAAATTGCAAGTGGAAACATTTACAGTCAAATTTTGACTAATAGGAGCGCCTGTACGAATAGTAAAACCTTGCTGAGGTATTTGGGGATGAGGTTGTTGTGGCGTAATTGTAGTATTAATTTTTTGAACTGGCGTAGTTAGTGAAGGTTTAGAAATTTGATTAACAACTGCTCGAGCTGCTTGAGAGGAAAGAACATGAGCTTTGAGTGATTGCAACTTCGGTTGTAGTACAGGAGACGAAGATGTTATTACTGTTGGAGTGGATACATGAATCTCTAAAGGTTTCGACAGACTCGTTTTTATAGACTGAGAAGTTTGAGCTTGTTGAAGTGCAGCTGGTGATGATTCCAATGCCGACACTTCTGCCTGAATCTCGCTGGACATTCTGCAAAGAGAAACCTTTTAGTATATATACTCTCTTTATTAATATTACGTATTTAAACATTGTACAGTATTCGATTAAGTAACTAATACGTACTTTTGCATGTGACCTCCATTTCCAGACACTGGAATATAACGTCCCTCCTCACATTCTCTTACGGGCATGAGAAGACCAGTAACAGGATCAATTAGTGTCATGGGTTCTTGTTTTTCTGTCTCTCCTTTAACTCTTCGTAAAACAGCAGCTTTCAACCCTTCGTGAGGTTTTTCCTTAACAATTTCTGTTTTTTCTTCCACAGGTTTTGTATCCTCAATATGACAAACTGGACTTTTATTATGGACATTGTCTTTTTCATCTTTTTTGGGGGATTCAGGTTTATTCGCAGTTTTTTCTTCAGATGAATCATCTGTGGTTTCAGAACTTCGACGATCTTTTTTACGAACACTTCCTCTGGGCGATTTTCTAGGTGTTTCTGGTACTACTTTAGCACCTGCTTGTCTCGTAGAACGTCTAGTTTGAGGTGTTGCAGAAGTAGTAATTGCAGACCGTGTAATAATTGTGTTCTTCACAACATCTTCAATGGTGTCATCAACAGTGTTTCGAGAAACATCACGTTCTTGCAAACGGCGAGATTTTCTAGTATTAGTGGCGGGTGGTAAAGTGAAATCTTCTTTAGTTTCAGATTTTGGAGGCGTAATGACTTCTTTAGAAACCTCCTTCAGAACAGCTGTTTGGGCATTACCAATTCCAGCAACAACTGGTGACTTAATTGTTAATATTAAACGTGGTCTGTCTTTATTGACTCCGCTTTCATCAGAATCATCTCGGAACTCGTAGATATCGTTAGTTTCAGATTCTGATTTTGATGTTTTTCTTTCAACTTTCGCTCGCCCCCCTCTCCCACCTCTTTTGGATACTACCCCACTTTCTTTTGCCGTTTTACTTCGGCGTGTTTGAACTCCTGCCCGATCAGTACCTCGAGTTTTTCTACCACGAATTGCTCTACCACCTCCCCTTCTACTACTTCGCGTACTAATTTCCTTTTCTTCAGATACTTCATCCTCTTTCAAATTTAAGCATTCATTTTCCGCAGCAATCAAAGAATCCACTTCATTTTCCGATTTAAAGTCGTCTTCTTTTATTTTATCAGAAGACAGTTCTAATGTATGTTGAGAATCTATTGTTTTTTCACTTTTCGGTTCTTCATTTGTAACTTCGGGTTTCTGTTCGCTAACATCATCACCAGAGCAAAGTGCATCAACTTTTTTAATTACAGAATCAATATTAACTTCTTTTGCAGACCAATAGTCACTATCTTCTTTTGTATCTACCGGTTCAGATTTATTTTGTTTTAAAGGTTGTTCTTCAACTTTAATTTCCGAAGGAATTTCCTTTGGGGGTAATTTCTCTTTAGATAAGTTATCAACAGCCACATTTTTATCATCGACAGGCATTTCCTCGTCAGTTTTTTCGTTAATCGACGAATTATTCCGATGATCTGGTTCATTTTGATCAAACCTTTTATTTTCATTACTTGATACTTCGATATTTTTGGATTCCACCTCATTGAGTAAACTTTTATTCAATTCTTCTGTTACTTTAGCAATTGCAAGAGGCTCTTTTTCTGTATCATCTTTAATTATAGGAGAGCAAAGTTCCATATCTTCTACCTTTGATTCAATTTGCTCTTCTTTACCAATACTTTCTGAAACAACAGATTCTTTTTCTTTAATCTCCAACATTTTGGAAGTTTCCTTACTGGACGATGTCGTCTCTGGTTTCTTTTCCAAAGAAGTATTTGTAATGATGACAGGAGTTTCACTTCCTTTGACTACGTTTTGCATCAAGGGTGAAGAAATCTGTGATGCTACTTTTTCAGTATCAGGAGAATGAAGTTTCGGCGATTCTTGTATAACTTTAGCAAATGATTTGTTTACATCGTTAGGGGAAATAGCGCTTTGAGTGCTTGGTAATGTTTGTAGAATGGAAGATGTTTGCACCGTTCCTAAAGAACTAGAAACAGGCGAATGTACGAAAGATGCAGGAAGATTCGTAGGCACTAATTTCGGTGGTTCTGTCACTGATACAGTAAGTGGTTTTGATTTGTCACAAGTAGTGGTCACACTGTCTTTTGGAGAAATTAACTGACTGCTGGCGCTGTAGGAAGTCGATGCTAACGTTTGCACGTAGCTATAATTTCCTGAAGGGAGAGATTTAGCTGGGACTAATAATCCATGAGATGGCAAATTTCTTTGTAGAGTGACATTCGCTTGAATAACCATCGGCGTAGGAGGATGAGAAGCATTCGCGAACTGAGGATTTTGGTATGATCTTTCTTGATTTCTTTCAAAAGATATAACTGGTGGAGAGGTCTTTTTTAACTCCCCTGTTTGAGCTGTAAGTGATTGTGGCAAATACATAGTAGTAGGTTGGAAAGGTGTTGAAACCATTACAGGTGTTATTGGAAGACGACTGAATGTAACAGTACTTGAAACTTTAGGAGACAAAAGTCCCGCTGTAGAAGTGGTAGAAGGAGACTGCTTGGGCTGATTTTGTGTTGCCGGAAATTGAATTTTTAGCGGGATACTGTGAGATATAGATGCATTATTAGGAGTTTTTAACGGCTGTAAAACAGGAATAGTTTGAACCTTCGTAATTATTTCGGTACCACCCTTTGGTGACGTTGAGTCAGTTTTTGGCGAAATTGTAATTTGTCTAATTACAGGTTCAGTAATCTTAACCATAGGAGGGGTGCTATAAGAACGGGGTTGAACAGCAGCTTTTGTTTGAGGCACAACAGCATGTAAAACATTCACTGACGCTGGCCTCAAAAGAAGAGGTCGATCATCACCTTTTCCACTAGACTTCAGATCTGGAGTATCTTTCTTCATTTCGGTAGGTGAATTCTTGTGCGTGAATAAAGGCACTTCAGAAACAACCGTCAAAGCGGGAGAGCTACTTTTTACTGGTACATCATCTGTAATTCGTTTCACTTCAGCAGCAGATGGATTAGGTTTAATTGGAGTTAATGAGGGTGGACTTCCCAAATTTGTAGCCTTTATAACAATTGTAGTCTTTGACTGTTCTTCGGGCCTACAATAAGAAGGAACATCGGGAGTTTTAGGAGGGTGACTTAAATCCACCATGTCTGGGGTTGCTGGGGTTGCCGGAGGTTGATCAAATCGCAACCCAGCTTCTTCTTGTTCTTCAGTATCAGTATCAATTTGTAATTCATGTTCGCTTTGAGGAGTATCTGGTTTTATCTCCATGTCAGTCGAATTATTCAAACTTTGTACGGCTTGTCTCATTTCTTCTAAATCTTCTGCTGAATTTTCTTCCGCAACAGCAGCTTCTTGTTCTGAACTTTCTAAATTTGTTTGATCTTCTGTGTACGTATTACTAAAGTTATTACTGCCAAAACTTTCTCCTAGTAGAGCTGCAACTGCATCTTCTGTTTCTTCTTGGGATATAACAACTCGATGTTTATCTTCTGTAACATCAGATTTTTCGGATTTTGTTTCTTCCTCGTTAAGTGCAGCTGCATTTTTAGTTTTTGAAGGTTCAAATTCAGAAATAGACTTGACAGCATTTTCATGAACAGTTTCATCGATAACAGTACCAAAACAAGGTATCAGTTTATCTCGAGTCTTTTCTTTCGACGAAGAACTTTTTGAACTTCCGGTTGAATCTGTGGACTTCGAAGAAACAGAAAAATCAGTTTCTGGAACTGGTTTAAAATGTGGTGGACTTTCTGGGCTAATTATATTTGGCAGACTCGGACTCTGTACTGTGGACTTTTCTATTTGCGATTTCTTTGGAATTTCAATAGATTCCTTTTTAATTTCTGGAGATTTTATTTTATCTTTATGATGGTGATGATGATGTTTATGTTTTTCTTCTTTGCTCTTCTTTCGTTTCTTTTTCTTTTCTCGCTGCTCTCGTTTATCTTCTTCTTTAACAACACTGTCTGATTCAAGACTTTCAATGAAATTAAAGACCTTTGAGTTTGATTCAGTTTTACTTTCAAAATCTACTGCAGTGACTTCACTCTGTTCAAACTCATTTAAATTGTCATCTTTGATATTGTCTTCTAATTGCCTGCCAAGATCTGCATAGTCCATGCTATTTTCATTAGTTTCTTCCTCATTTTGTCGTTTTTCTCTTTCTCTACGCTTCTTTTCCTTTTTCCGTTTATGTTCTTTATTACGCTCTTTCTCTTCCAACTTAGAAGTCTCTTTTTCGGGCATTGGTGCATCATCGGAATCACTCATATAAATTGAACGAGCATGGCTTTTATCATTTCCAAAACAATTATCTATCAAACTTTTCTGCAAATTGTCAATTTGTTGTTCTTGTTCTCTTTGGCCATGTTCAGAATCCTCAGAAAATGAACCGAAAATATTTTCTATCTTGTCTTTTGGTTCGGATTTACCTATTTCTGGTTTGAATTTTTTTGCTCTTTTTGCTTTCTCTTTTTGCTTTTCGTCATGTTTCAATTTATCACGCTTCTTGTCTTTCATTTTATGGGGTTTCTTTTTTTCAATAGGTTTGTATTTTTCTATACTCTCCTCTCTGTTGACAACAGCAGGCATATCCTCCAGTCTAGTTGAATCTTCGCTCGAGAAAGAGTGTTTCTGACGTTTTTGCTTTTTCTTATGTTTTCTTCTAAGTTCATTTTTCTCTTTCTTATGATGACTCTCTTCTGATGATACATCACCAAATGTCCGAGAATCATCGTACTTATTTTCAGATTTAATTTCATGAACAGGCGATTCGCCAAAAACCTGCATTTTAATTTGTTCGGATCCCAACAAATCATGTTTACTTTTCTTTTCCTTTTTCAAATTATATTTCAGGACTTCCGATTTTTTAAACAAGTTTGTATCCTCCAATTCCATAAAGGACTTTGTATCAAATTCTGTATCAGAAAATAATTCAGTTTTAGGTTCGACTTTAATTTTAGTCTCTGTTTTCCTAAACTCGTTGTCAGAAGAGTCACTTGCAATGCGTGACTTTATAATTTTATGCTGGTAACTTCTGGACTTTGTAACGTCTTCGTCACTAGTTTCAAATAAATCTAATTTAATTTGCCTTCCTTTATCTACATCTGATCCTATAACAGAATCACCCTTCTTTCTTGATTTAATTTTAGCTCCATGTTCATCATCATCTGAACTCAATATGAACATCTTGCTACTCCTACGACTTTTATCGTTTTTAGACGGTCTTTCTTGCTTTTCATGTTCAGAATCGGTGTCTTCCTCCCAAGATGTTGATCGTTTCTTTTCTTCACGCTTGGCTCGACTCTGTTTCAGCTGATTGAATTTCGCCTTAAGTTTTTCTTGTCTTTTTTCCTCTTCTTGTTTTTGCATATTTTTACAACTTCGTGCTTTTACTTTGTCATACATAGAAATATAGGCAGGTTCATCATCAACAATATCAAATATTGAATGTTGCTTTTTAGGTTCGTCAGAATCAGTGGCTGCATCAGAACTATTGTTTTTGCGAGTCTTCTCTTTCTTTTGAGATCTTCTGTCATCAGATTTGTTACAGGTTTCTTCTTTAGATTTTCCCTCTAAAGATAAACGTTTTTCTTTTCTGCGATCGTCAGTCCTTTTACATTCTTCTATTTTTTGTTCGTCAATGTCCAAACTTTCCTGCTTTCTCTTTTCTTTTAACTCTTTCTTTTGTTTATATTTCTCTAATTCATCAGCACTCTTGGATTCATTTTTATACAATGGTTCTTTATTACTTTTCTGTGATAATATAAGGGCATCTTTTTCTCGGTTTTTTTCTTTTGACTTCTGCTTTTCGATTTTAAGTTGTTTATGCTTATGCTTTTCTTCTTTATCCCGTTCTTTATCTTTTCTTTTTTCCTCTCCTATAACATCTTTTACACTATTATGCTTTTCATGCCTAATTTTATCTTCAATTATTTTTGCAATGTTATTTTTGTGTTTATTTCTTGTTTTTTCATCTAAACGACTATCTTTTGAATCACGGCGTTCAGGGAGTTTCTTGTTTTGTTCGTGACTTAATTTCAACTTTTTCGCTTCTTCTACATTCTCTAATGTCTCTTGAAAACTCATACGTCTTTTAAATCCCATATTTTCTTGCGCGTTATTTTTATCTTTTCTACGATGAATATCAAATTGTATTTTACCAACATCAATAGAAAAATGTCGGCTCTCAAGGAGATGTTTGTGGTTTTCTTTGTGATTTTCATTAACAATATGTGCCGTTTTATCATGAAGATTGTTATCTTTATTCTCTTTGGTGTTTTCTTTACGTCGTTCGACGTCTCGATCGATATTGTGTTTATATTTGAGCTCGTCCCGTTTATTAGTATCACAAAACGTGTCTTTTTTCGAATGCTCTTGGTTCTCCTTCGACTTGCTACTTTCTTTGGTATTTTTGTCGCTTTTGGACACATCGGAAGTGGTCTCTTTATGTTTTGTGTCACTAGAAAAAATTTCTTTGGCGTACCTCACATGATCTCTGTTTCTTTTTTCGTGATGATTGTCTAGTTTTTTTTCTTCTTCACGTTTACGCTGTAGTTGTTCCCTCTCTGTATTTTCTTTTTCAACGCGGTCTTCTTGTTCTTTCAAAAATCGTTCGCTTTCTTCTTTTTCGCGTTTTTCTTGCTCTTCTCGTTTTTCTTGTTCCAATCTTTCTTGCCCTTCGCGATTTCGCCTCTCTAATTCCTCTTTCTCACGCCTCTCCCTTTCTTCTCGACTACGTCGCCGCTCTCTCTCTATATGATCTTGTCTTTCTTTGTCTGCGCGCTCTTTTTCAGCCCTTTCCCTTTCTAATCGTTCCTTTTCTAGTCTTTCTCTTTCCAAATTCTCAAGACGTTCTTTTTCTAATCTTTCTAACTTCTCCATCTCTAGTCGTTCCTTTTCTTGTTTCTCTTTTTCAAGGTATTCCTTTTCCATGCGATGTTGTTGCTCTTTTGAAAATTCTTCATTACGATCGTCTTTAATATGACAATCACTTAAACCACTATTATTATCACAATTGTCACTATTTTTATCACTGTTTTGTTTACGTAAACTGTTCTCACTATTCCGACGGTTCCTTGGGGAACTGCTGTTACTAGTACTAGAGTCACGCCTACTCATTATTTTATCACCCGATTTACTCTCATTGCGTGTTAAAGACGCAACACCGCCGTTATCGCTTAAATTTATCGCGAGAGAAACATTATCACCAGATTTCGCTTGAGTTACTGAAGACGAACTATTACTTGTGACACTGCGATTTAACGTTACTTTTGTAGCTAACTGTGTTGTTACAGGCGTGCTGACACTAGCAGAAAGTTTCACTTTAACATCACTTTGGTGATTAGTTGATCTCAATGGTAGTGTTGTCGTTACAGTTGAAATACACGACGAACTAATGACTGGCGATGACGTTGATACGATAACTGGTTGTTGAATTGGCGGGTGTGTTGGAAAAGGGTACTGAAGACCTTTTACAGCCGTTAAACTTGTTGTAAGAGATGTTCCTGAAACAATAAAACGTTAATATGATCAAGTCCTTAACATAAATTATCAAATTTCTATATTATCAGGAAAAATATATTAATACTCGTATTTATATAAATTTTATATCAATATCAGTATTCTCCAACTTTACGAGATTTAAAATGCAGAAAGTAGCAGGAGAAAAAAAAAAGAAACCTTCGTAAAGATGAAACTACATTAACAATTTAGAAAAGGAAACGAGGCGATACAAAAAATTATAGGAGTATCGGCGTAGCTTTTGCTCTTATCCTGTTTTCAACACTTACATTGTGGACGACAGGATAAGAGTAAAGGCAGAAAGAGTAAAGATTCTTCCAGAAACTCAACAAGGATTCAGAAAAGGAAGAAGTGCAATATATAACATTTATATAATGAAAACAGCTATTGTAAAAAACGACAGAAAAAAAGAGAGGGAACTTATACGCACTTTTCATAGATTTGAAATAAGCATTTGAAAAAGTAAAAAGAAGAAAATTATGGAAGGAAGAACAGAAAGAAATATAACGGAATAAGGGCATATAAAGGAACTGTAACCACCATGACACAAGTATAGAGCATAGGAAAGAGAAAATTATTGTAATTTAATATCACGGTGATAAGTATTCTTCTAAATGCGACGAAAATACATGGGCATTAATAAAGAAAAGAGATAGAAGCGATCGAAGAAAGATATTTGAAGAATATTTTAAGACTAAACAGTGTAGACGGAAACGAATGGAATTTCCGGATTACCATCAAAAGGGGTGGAAAAAAGAATGTGAAAATGGTAGCTAGGTTCAGAACAGAAAATAGATGGAAGGAAGTAAAATACTGGCTAGAAAGTGACAAAAAACTGTGTAGATTATGTGAAAAGAATGAGAAAACGGTAGAACACGTGATGTCATCATACGAAAAATAACGAACAGATAAAAGCAATACCCCTTTGAAGCTGGTATGGCAAAATTAGCAGATAAACATGTAGCTCATCGGATAATTAGCCATTGCGAATGAGGAACCTAAAAACCGATTTTCATGCTAACTTCGATTGTTAAAAATTGTAATATTGGTTACGAAAAGCCTAGACAGCTTAAACCGAACTGATTAGCCGCTAATAAATCGCTTATGATGTAGACTACTAATCAGCAGATTCATTTTTTTTTTGTTTTCAAATTAGCATCAGTTTATGATCTTGAGAACCCGACAACCACTTTAATATCAATTGAAATTATAGTGCGCATTCTCAATCGGGCTTAAAACTGCTGAGAATATTTCGAAAACTAGCCGTAAAAACGGAAAATTAACCGCTACCCATGAAACAAGAAAACCAGTTTGCGGTTAAATAAATAATGTTGTCAAGCAAAAATTGTAAAATCGGTTAGGAAAAGCAGACAGCTTGAAGTGGGCTCATAATTAGTCATTATAGCATTACAGTTGTTGTACGTCCAAATCAAAAACTGGCGTTGTTTTGAACATCCTGGTTAGTGGTTTATTAAGCCAACTTCAAAGGGGTAAAAACAACGACGGGACAGTATAGGAATCGGTTTGGATAAAGACGGTACTAGAGTTGAAAGGACACAATTAGACAAAAAATTATATATGAATATAATAAATATATCTAGTATAAATATATGCATAATGCACGCCATGCATTCCGAAAGAGAAATCATTATTTTAAATAAAAAAGTAATATTGAAAAGAAAAGAAGGTCTTACCAGCTGCTCTTGGCGATAATAGCATAGTCGGGGTTGAACTGGGAACTTTCATGTGAGATGTCGCAGGAAGCGGCGTTACAGGTACAGTGTTTTGCATTACAGATGACGTCGATGAAATCGTCACAGAGGTAATAGCTGATGTCGTAGTTGTTCTAGCGAATAAACTAAATTCACGCGGTTCGTATTTTTCACCTACATTCTCCAAACGTTTAGAGTCCTCGTCAAACACCGATCGCTTCGCCATCACAGACTTAACTATTTCCGATGGTTGCACTTCCTTTAGGTCTAAATCTAAAAGTTTGTGACGAAAGCGAAACCGCTCCGAGGCAGTTGCATCAAGTTTCGCGAGAGCATCTCCACCGGCGGCACTTAATGCTCGAGAACCCGACCACTTTTCATACTTTTCGTCTAATGAACGTATTCGTTCATCTAACGAAGGGCTTGGTGGAGCTACGTCACTATCACTAGTATTTGAACTAAGAGATGGAGGTCGTGGAGGTGGTGAAGCAGGCGGTGGAACCGCTGGTAATGCATTCGTTACTATCCTGGGACTAGTAGCGGCGGGTGGTGGACTCGCAAGCACGTTAGTTGCCTCCTTTTGACCTTTTATTCCTGCCACTGACACGCTTCCTTTTCCCATTATTTGAGCTGCAAACCTCGGTAAAGGTAAACTTAATGGACCTTCACGTTCACGTGGAGTAGCCCTCCTTGGCTCGCTCGGGAAGTGTTCGGGCCGTTCGTCACATAGTGGCGTACCAGGTCGAGAACTACCAACACTTTCTGAGCCGCTTAAATCGTGGTGATGCACACGCGCACTGCTGCTATCACTACCCGCTGTTTTTCGTCTTTTACACACTGCGTGTGGTACGTAACCAGTTGTCACTTCACGAAACGTGTGTTTGCCACCGTTATCAACCGAAGGCCGCCGCGAATGATGTTTGCCACTAGCATCCGATGTTCTACGCACTTCCATCACTTTCCGATGATGGTGGTCCCGATTAGTTTCGATTATAACGTCACTATCGAGTTTAAGACGCTTTCTAGGACTAATTAACTCATCACCAGAACTATGACAGTCTTCAAGTTGTTCAAGAAGGTGAACGCGTTCTTTCTGTAAATTCCGTATATCAGGTGGAGCCTGAGGAAAAATACTTCCAATATCTGGATGCTGCGTCAGTCGAGTATCCAAACCATCCAAATGTGAAGGACTATCACGAACATACGTGGCATATTCGTGATCATAAGGGTCATCGTGAGATGCTGCACTGCCTTGACTGTATTCATCATAACTTCGATATCTACTACGATCGATATAATCACCAATGCCTTGATCGTAATAATCAGTGTAACGCGCCAGCCGTGATCGAGAACCACTTCCACGAGGAGTTACCGACCCCGGGGTTCCTGGGGACGCTATTGCGGGTACAACATTGCTACACGGATTCCCTGTAACACTAGATCGACTGCTATATGAAGATGTCCGAGGACGCGAAGACGAATCATATCTGTAATTAAAAATATATATTAGAATTCATTGCTGTTTGTCGTTTATTTATTGTTTAGATTTTAAATATTGAACAAAACCAACAATTTACTCTTCTGGGCAGGGTTAAATAAGCTATTCAATAAATTAATTATAACATTTATTTAGCAGATTACTTAAATATTGAAAATAAAACAAAAAGAATATAATTATAAATTTAGAAATTATCGACAATCATATGTATTCAGATCCTTGCAATAATCGGCAGTTTGTTGATGTCCCATTGCCGATGTCTTTCACCCTGAAACAGAGTGTCATCAGAAAATTTTAACGCGTAAAACCAATGTTGCCACTGTTGTTCTATACTGTATGCAATTAAAAAACTGCAAAAATAAAATCAGTAATTATAAAATTAATCTGAATACCCACGATTGTAACAAAACAAAAATTTTGAAAACAAACTGAACGATAAATAATATCCCTTTTCTATATATATTCCCAGTCTTTTACCGTTTGTGAATACTAAAAAGTTTAATTTAGAAACACTTTTAGTAATTATCTACTATGTAGTAGTTTAATTTAAAAAATAGATATGGTAGGTATATTAATGTTGCAGTAAGTGGAAATAAGAATGTAAAAAATAAGGGGGTACCACACAAAAAAATCTTTTTATTATTAAGAGTTTAAAAAGTTCATCTTTCCCTTACATTTTTTACTTATTTCCACCCATAGAGACTTTAATACACCTAAGAAAAAAAATTGAATATCGAGATAACTGCATAGTAGATAATTACTACAATTTAAAAAGTCTTTATTTAAATAAATATTTTACGTATGTACGTAATATGTACTTGCCTAACGAATCTTGCTGATGCTGAAGACAATGTACTTGATTCGAAACTCCTAGACGAAGAATCACGCCGTTCTTCAACGACCGATGTTGGATGTCCATGTTTTTCGAGGTGTTCGTAAAAACCTTCCTGACACTCGCGACTAGCAAAATCAACTTGGATCTTTCGACCCCGTACACTAACACCGCGCATTTTAGCTACTGCAGCCTGAGCACTCATCACTTGTTCGTAGAAAACGAGAGCTTGACCACGATCACGGTCAATCACAACTTGGGTTACGGCACCATACGTGTCAAACTGTACTGTTAAAAATTTTTCCGTAACATTGTCCGCTACTCCGTCAACCCATACGCAACTTGTGGGCATTGATTTACCAAATCCCAATTTAACTCTATTATTACCCAAATGTTCGCCATCTAAAGCTCGAATAGCTTTCACTACGCTTGCAATATCTGAATACTGGCAGAAAGCATACGAACTTACTGCACCCTGTTTCTTTATGTCAATCTCAATTATTTCGCCAAATTGATCGAAATGTTTTCGTAAATCAGACGCAGTAACTTCCTTTTCCAAATTACCGACGAAAAGAGTCCGTGTTGCTTTCGGATGGTATTCATCCACGTCCGCTTCATAATACCTTAATTCATTTTCGTCGATATCAAAACCTTGGTACGCGGCAACTTCGATCTTACATCCAAAAAATAGCTTGTCATAACTCACTTCGAGCGCCTTTTCTACATCTTCCGGCTTCTTAAAACATACGATACCGTAGCGATCGGGACCGGTTCCGACAATTTTCACCCACGTCACTTTTCCGTGCTTCTTGTATTCATGGAAGAGCCCGTCTTTAAGAGAAGTATCCGAGGACCTTTGAGGAAGGTTCTTGACACATATTGCAAGAGGTCTCTTGTCGTCTGTATTAACGACAGAAGATACCCGTCGGGATTTTGGAGAACTAGTCGAGCTGGTGTCCCTGGAGGTCGAGCTGGTAGTTGAGCAGCTGCTACTTCGCGACCGGGACGGAGATGGTGTCCGACTCGATGCACTACCACTGGGTGAAGGTGACCCGCTTCCCGAACGCGATTTTGCCTTCTTTTTTGTACTTTTCTGAGAATCTGTAGATCGCCGATCCGTTGACTCTGGTGTTCCATACCCTGTTTCGGAGTTGTACCTGCTGCTCGTACCCGTAGGTAATGTCGTAATCGAAGCTGTGTCGTATGATGGCCACGTGCTGTTTAGCGTCCGCCGTTCGATAACAGATGCGGTACCAAAAGGAGGACCGTTCCGGTATACGCGTTCCCTATTACGACCCCTGGAGTCGTGGTAAACAGCGCCAGCGCCCGACGAACGACGAATATAATCTGGTTCCGTTAGCCGACTACTGTTGCTTCTATCGTAAAATCTGTCGCTCGGAAAATTTGTATGTTCGTCGACGGAGCTGAAAAACAAGCGATCTACTAAAAATGGGACCTTATTTGTCGAAATTAATAAAATAATGAAGAAAAATCCAGCAAACAATGTCGTACAATGTTCTAATCAAACAAAAAATAAAATAAAAAAAAAAGTGTTGATCCCTCACACAGGGATGGCCAAGAATAGATATACTAATAGCTGTGTTTGATGGGGCTGTCAGGCGGTCTCGTCACAGCAACAGCTCCGACAACGGCACACTAGCGGGATTTCACAAAAATATCCTCTCTAAACATAGTAATACGAAGTAAAATCAAAGAGTTATTAAATAAAATGTACAGACATACACATACTTCATGAGTGTTGTCTTTATTGTAACCTAATGATTCTATACACGGTGTGGCGTTTATAATTAAGAAAAAAAAAACACGAGCTCCTGACACAAAATGCAACAAAAAAGTGTAATAACATTTTGCAATCCAATGACAATTAATTACGCAAATCGTCTTCGTAAATTTGAACCTATAATTAGTTTGGTAAAAAAGTTGAAGTGAAAAATAATGTAGATACTTTTCAAAAAGTACTGAAATTGTCCAGCGTTAGCTTCAATTAACATACCAGGCATTTGTCATACAATGAGGCCGGCGTATTTGTCGAATTTTATCCCAGATAAGTATCCGTAATACCTTTTATATATAATATAATAATTGTACGAAAAGCGTTGGTAATGCCCATTCGCCCTTCAGATAAAGCCGACATGTTGCAAGTGCATTTTCTTCGACTGCACCGTAACTTAACACCACATCTTAACTCGATGAAGGTAAAATGTATTTTAATGCAAATACATGAATGAAATTATTAATTCCCAATCGACTTTAGTCATGCAGTTTACAACTGAGTAATTTCAATGTAAATACGTTAATAAACAATGATTTTGATTTTGCAAAGAGGAGCTCAAATTTTGTTTCGATACGTACTTTTTATAACATATTTCTAACTTTTAACAAAACGTAAATAACACTTCAATAACATCACTTTAAACAAACAGGGAAAAAACGCCCAAATGAAATAATAATTATCTAATAAACAAACAGGGAACAAACGCCCAAATGAAATAATAATTATCTATTAAACTAACAGCAAACGCCAACAAGGGACATCGGCCTACTGACCGTGAATTTTTGTGCAATCGATATTACTCATATCATCCGTACGTTGAAACTACATACCTATTTAGAAATTGTCAGAGCCGGCATCAAAATTATCATACTTTTTTTAACATTTTTTTTTGCTTCAAAGGTCAAAAGTGTTATAACATTTTCTGTTCCAAATGCCATTAGGAACCTGTGGTTTAAATATTATTGAAATTGATTGAAATATATTAGAAATTAGTAAAAATAAGCAAATTGAAAAAAATGCCATATTGCCGAGCACGATTACCACTCTGCCAATGTTACTTCCTACGAGCTACTTTCAGAGGATAGTATTACCAGTTTAGCGGCGCGAATGGAAACAGAAACTGATGTGATCAATCACGTAGCAGTATTTACGTCTGATTCTGTACCACTGAGGTAAGTACACTGCGTTCTATTCTCAACCAAAGTGGTATGTTTTATTTGATTTGCTTATTTATTTTTACTAATTCTTCTCTGATGGATTTGCTTAGGATCACAACGTTACGTTAGGCAAGACAACATTCAAAAGTTCGTTGCCATGTTTTTCTTTTATTTGGTAGTTAACCTACACGGGTTCTCTTTATGGCGCAAGGCGTTCGATTTTATTCATGGTTCTGACGGTTAGACTTAAGCTTCAGACTTGATAATTGATTTTAATAAGATTTTCTCTAACGAATATTCAATAAACTAATTACAATTATAAAAATTGTAAAATTAAGAAGACGACATCAATCAACAATGCCATTACAGTATCTGTATTTATCTCGGTACTTTAAGGCTGTCAATTATCTTAACTAAAATAAACAATGCAATATGGGAATACCGTTTCTGATTCACCAAAAACCAGAAATTAGGGAAGTTGCACTTTTATATTAATGTGTAACAGTGATAGATATTTAATACATATTGTATATTATAATTCAATATGTACAAAATTATATCCATTAACTAGTAGACGGTTAAGATGAGATTTATTCAATAGTAATACATATAAATTAATATTTTACTAATCACTTGTTTTTTTATAGTAGGAAAGTTAATGAGAACTAACTATCCATGTTTCAGTTCGATATTTTGTATGACATGACTATGGCTTTTTAAAAAAGAAGCAAAACATGGAACCAAATTTAAGATTAGTAAATTAATATGTACCCTACCTTACATTAATAAACAACACCTGTCTAAAAATCTAAATTTCTCATAGAAAATGAATTTTCCGAATTATTAGAAAGTATCGAAAAATAAAAGTAATACTTAAAAAATTTAATAGAAATATAAAAACATTGCAAAATAAACAAGAATTTATGTTAAACAGTAACAAGACTTTGCTTATCAATGAGATCAGGTAAATTCAGAGTTGTCCTTTTCTTTTTTCCTAATACCATTTTTTTTGCAATCATTTTCAAATGTAGTAGTAGTATAATATACATGTAACTGAACCGTTATTACCCAAAACAGGAACAACTATTTTACTTAGTGTAATTTTGTAAGATATTATCAAATATTCTGTAATTCATACTCTGTAGACAACTGATTTCCCTCTCAAAAACGAAACATCAAATAATACGATAAGTAAATAATTATTCGCGAGTTCGACTCGCTTAAACCAGTTTCTATAACAGTATTTTTCTACCACAAAGTCAAAGTCACAAAGCGTCATTAATAAAATATAAGGGATCTCTAAAAACCATAAATCTTAGAGTATTCACAATAATAATACATGAAAAACTAGTTAGAGATAAAGCATATTAGTGTTGGCAAATAGTTACGATATTTTTGAAAAATGCGAAGATTAGCTCAAGATAGGAAGAAGTTGAGATCCAACAATATTTGGGCTAAAGGAGTGCTGAACTTGTTAATAGGCCGTATGGATCTCGGCCTGGAGGGAGGGGAGGGGCAAATATGTTCACTATTATTCTAATAATCCCATCCTATTTTACGCTATTTTTTAAAATATCGCAATTTTGCTTACTTCAAATAAACTTAGCCAGGGCAGAGTAGTGACATGAAATTAAAATTAAATCTAATCGACTAAATAGCAATTAAATGCCTGATGAATGATCCTTTTTTTTTTTTAAAATATCATCTTTTATGCTAGATAAACATGAAAACAACAGAATAGAGTACGGCTAAACAATCAAAAATAAATTGAATTAACTGAAAATTTTAATGCCCCAATAAAAAAAATGTTGCCCCCTTCAGTGTAACTTATCAAAGCAAAGCGATAAACAGTTAAAAATAAACCCAATTAGAATTTATTGCGGATATGTCTGGGTTAATCTTACGAAATCATATTTTTGAGATTTGAGCCCATTATCCAATTCTTTGAATCGCCCATCAAATACGACACTTTTCAACATATTTATAACTGTCCTCCCTTTGTCGCATTTAATTACATTTTAATAAACCCTTATATGTATTAGGATATCATTACACAACTACTAGATCAGCCCGCAATCACTTTATACAAAAAAAAAAACAAATACTAAAAAGTTCCCTTTATTTTCGAGTCAATGATAATTTCTCATAAGTTCATAAAGTAAACTGGACGGCTACAAAAGATGCAAATGGACAAGGGTCAGGGAAATTAGTTATTCTCAAATATCTGGCAAATTAGTAATTACCGGTTTTACATTAATTTTGGTTCTAAACGTATTGATGGTTGTAAAGTAGGTAGATTTATATTTGCAACATATTTTGTGCAGCTGAGATCTGGTGACCGAATATTCTTGAATTAGCTGACGATTACTACGTCTAATAAAAAATGATACTAACTAAATGGCCTACTTTCGATGGTTACGATGTTATCACCACGTCTTATTTATGACCCTACGACGACCGAACATTGGCATTTAAACACGCTCAACGCGTGAAAATTTTTTAAATTTTTAATTACATATCCCGATTAAACCGTAACATCCAGGATATTGCAAACAGGTTATTTAGCCAGCTTCGTTCTTTTATTAAAGCTCCACAAAATTATATTACAAATATTACTAACGCTAGAACCGTAAATAGATACCTAAAATATTATTATACAATTTGGACGAATCATATCCCCGTTAAAGGTGCATAGCACTTCGCATATGCCAGTCAGGGAAACATTTCTCTCTCTTGTGTAGTAATTAACACATATCAATCAAAGAAACCTTCCCTCCATAATCTAACCTGCTACATAGATACTACTTACTCCCTGGTAGATAGCAATTCACACAAGTAGGTAATTCCCGTTTTCCATAACCCAACATAAGCCCAAGGTACATAATACATAGAACTTAGTATTTGTGAATCAGGGTTCTTCCATCATCATCAGATCATCACCATCAAGGTCGTCAGTCCTAAGACTGGTTGGACACGCACCTCCACTCTTTCCTATCCTAAGCTAATCTTCGTATTTCCCTAAAACTAGAACAACCCATATCCTTAACTATTCGCGAACAGTAATCTAATGTAGGTCTACCTCTTCCCCTCCTAACCTCCATTTCTGCCACTAATATGTCTCTGACTAAACCTTCATGCCTGTGAAGGTGTCCTATCAACCTATCTCACCTATTTCTTACTGACTTCCATAGAGTCATCTGTTCTCCTATTCCTTCTAATACCTCTTTATTTCTAACCTTTTCTATTCACGGTACCCTCATCATTCGCCTGCTGTAACACCACATTTCGAAAGCTTCTAACCTTTTCTTTTCCGCCGCGTCCACTGTCCATGTTTCGCACCCGTACAGCACCGTCCTCCAAACATATATCATTAACAACCTTTTTAGAATTTTTAAATTAAACATTCGCGAGTATAGAAGTGACTTCTTTTTATTGAAGGCGACTCGACCCCTGCGCTATCCTCTGCCTTATA